AATCAGAAAAACCAGGCACAGAAAAACATACAGTAAATGAATGCTGTAGCAGAAGCAAATTATAAAACACAAAATTACACATATTAAGAGTGCCAGAAGGGAAGAATTTCCACATCAGTGCATATTTCAATTATTTGCTTTCAGATTGTACCATAAATTCCAGCCTTACTAAAATTATGAATTTTTAAATTTTGTATTTCTCCTCAGAAAAAAAGCTTTTTTGACTGAATTTTAGGTTTTTAACTGCTGAATTTTTCTTTGAAGACAACAGTTTTTTGAACAAAAAGTTTGTCAACTGAGTGGTTTGACCAAGAGTCCACTGTATATGAATAAAGCCTACTTTTTTTTAAAGATTGCTGTTTTTCAAACAATACTAAAAATCTCAGCATGTCAGATGTACAGTACACTATACTTAAAAACAGGTCTGATGTGAAAAAAAAATTTAAAGTCATCAATTTTGAAAGTATTGTTCTCACAAATCATTCAGTATCACAAACTTTTCCTGAGGTCCTCAAAAGTTTGATGCACTGAGATTTTCCTGTATTCAGAGCAAACGCATTTGTCTCTCACTTTTTCAGCAAAAAGGTAACACTATTTAAGAAGATGCTGAACTGAGCTACTCTCACAAGCATCTGGTAGTTTCGAGTCCACAGGTTTTCTAGAGAGGGGCTAAAAATAGCAACAAGACCCTCTGCCAAGTTTTCATAAAACTATTCCATGCTGCTTCTCACCAGCAGAATAAACCCACGTATTTTCTCTCCCCACAGCACAAGAATCCGTATCTTTTCCTCCATGCAGAATTTGGGGGTCTCAACATGCGGACACCTCAACATAAGGACAATTCAGTTCATACAGATAATTGGAACTGAAAAAATCTGCTCCAATATCTCATGAACAATCTCTCAAGATACAGACACTTCACCAATATTTTTTAAAAAATTGAAAAATGTTGAAATCTCCATAACAAATTGAGCCTTTTATGCTGAAAAAAATTAAAAATGAATTTTTAATTATAGAAAACGGCAATAATTCATTATCCAAAACAGGCTGATAAATGTTATGTTTTTAGTTCTTTCCATCTTAGCACAATATAGGATGACTCGTGCTTATTCTCTTTGCATTTTGGGTTCTTTTCCATGCCAAAAGATAAGATTTTCTTCTGCACAGATATTTCCTTTATCTTGGAGTTAATTTAAGCATTTCATTCAAAATTTTGGGGAACTTTTTCTCAATTTTTGATCAACAAAAGAACCAATTGAATATATTCTGTACTTTCAACAGAAAAAATTCCTTTTTTCTTTTAGTTATGTACACAGCATCAATTCAATAAGCCTTGAACACCAGCATTCATGAGATGGACAACACACAGTCTTTATTCAGATTCACTCAAAAAGTATCTACAATGAAGCATGACAATTGCACTTGGATGAATCTCAAAATGTTGTTTTGGTTTACAATTAAAAGAACCAGATTCAAATCACACTTACCCTGAGGAACATGAATGGAAAATTATTCATTAAATTAATCTGTTGTCTAAAAGCATCCAAAACATTAACTTGACTAATTCAATTTCTATATAGCTCATCTTCAATAATCAGCGTCCTATTAAAACTATTATTGTACAATCAATCAACAGCCATGAATTTTAATATTTAAGTTATTTTCCACAACTTTACTGAGATTCTCAGAAGCATGACAATTGCACTTGGATGAATCTCAAAATGTTGTCTTGGTTTACAATTAAAAGAACCAGATTCAAATCACACTTACCCTGAGGAACATGAATGGAAAATTATTTATTAAATTAATCTGTTGTCTAAAAGCATCCAAAACATTAACTTGACTAATTCAATTTCTATACAGCTCGTCTTCAATAATCAGCGTTCTATTAAAACTATTACTGTACAATCAATCAACAGCCACGAATTTCAAGATTTAAGTTATTTTCCACAACTTTACTCAGATTCTCAGAAAAACTCTTGAAGGAGTCTTACATTCCAACTCCACACTGCTTCAGCTAAATATACATGATAGTGTGCCACAAATGTTGCAGACATGGTTTCATGGCAAAGTACTTGAGAAAAGTTGAGTGAGTCAGAAGTATGACTTCTCTGGAAATTCATCAATCTCTGTAAACCAGTGTTCCCCCAACTTGGGACTCTTGGACCAGCAAATCTCCAAGAAATGTTTTGCATACCAGCAAATCCAATGTTCTCTGAACTGGCAAAGTTACATAAAATTGTTGCAGAATCAAAAAATGTTTGTTTGAAAGACTTTTTGACAGGCATTTCAGAAGTTTCTTTCTTTTTTGCAAAAAATGGTGAATCAACAAAGCAGTTATATATTGGAATGTCATAAAAAAAATTAGAAAGGTGGGCTTGATGAAAGCTTTCTTAGAATGAGAGTTAAAATACTTTTTTCTGTAGGTGAAAAATTTGTTAAAATCCTCATTAGGAGAAAAGCCAACATATATTTTCCATCAGACAATTTCAACTGCCATTGTCTTTCCAAAATTCCAGACAAACATAACAGACTTCATTGCTACTTTTAATAAATTTATTATGCTGAATAAAATTTTCTGAAGACCAGCAAAAAACTTCAGTGATTGAGTTGGGGAACACTGCAGTAGATCCACACATGCTCTTAACTTTACATGAAATGCAATCAATAATGCAAAAATAAACCTCATAAAACTTAATGCATGAAAAGAATGACAGTCATGAATTTCAAGTGAACACTTTGAAGAAGTCCATCACACTTTCCCTGCATATAGGGCACTTCTTCTCCTCAGCCATCAGGTGAATCATACAGTCCTCACAGCAACTCAGGTGTCTGCAGGGCATCAGTATAACACACTTTAAGGCATCCATGCAAATGACACAAGCTGTGGATTTTGTTCCAATTGCCCCTAGGTTATTCAAGGACTTGCTGACAGCTATTCCAACTTCCTTGGTGCTACTGGGCTTCACCAAGGGATGGCAAGAGCCTCCACAGCAGAGCCTTGGGGGCAGGGTCTCCAAATTTGGATAAATTGAGGGTTTGGAGGTCAAATGAGGGTGGAGAAAGCTTTGGTCTGAGGTGGACTCCAACATGATGGGTGGGGCAGAGGGTTTGGGGTCATCCAATAATGGGTCTGTGCTGGGGGAATCTCTTGTAATGTGCCTGAAACATACATCATTCAAGAATCACATACAGTACATTAAAATGGTTTTAAAAAAGTACCTGGCTTCATTGTTCAAGGCAATGATCCTCTGAGACAAGATTCTCAGTGCTATTTCTTCCTCCTGGCCACTTATGGGTCCTGCTGCAAAGGAACTGGAGGACCTGTGCCTGGTGAAGACACCAGCACTTGCAGAGGGAGACCTGCAGAGAGTGTCACTTTTAACACAAGAAGCTTTTAGATTTTCAATACTGTACAATTATTTTCCTTGTTCCTCAGAAAGAAAAAAAAATTTCAAAAAGAGTGCCACTAACCTGTACCTGACAAGACAAGACTCAGTCTCTGCCACAGTCAAATCAGGTTCACCAGACCTCATTCCAGGAAAAACTGCAAACACCACAGCATCCAACCTCACCAACAGAGGGTCAAACAAATCATACCACTCAGCCACAGTGCCAGTCTTCCCATAGGCCACAGCCAGTGCAATGACACTTATAATCCCACAAGTGAAAGCATGGCCAAACTCTGTCACACTCCTATCCAACCCTAGGCACAGTTCAAGAAAGAACCAGACCAGCCCAACCCCTGCCACAAATGCCTTCAAAAGGGACACCAAAGCTTGGCCAATGAACAGAACTACAAGTTTGAAAGCTTTCACCAAGACTGCCAATGTTTGAAGGACCAGCATTTTGCACTGGAGCTTGTAACATGGTGGTAAGGTACATTGAAGGTAATGAACAAAACTTGACAGGTAGCAATAATTATATGGTAATTAAATAAGGAGTAAATATTATTTACATTTTTTTCAACAGATGGTGCAGTTTTTTCTAATGCATTCTGAGCATGTCTCACAGACCTTGCAGAGTTTCCCGGTCTCAGAGGCAGTTATTTTCAGGTGAGATTAGAATTCTGGCACCATTTCTTGTTCAGGTATGTAAATTTTCACCAGATAATTCATCTAAATAGTTCAGCATACAGTATTACTTTGAGTACATTTTGGTTCATCAAAAATACTGTACAGAATTGACTCAAGTACCACAAGCCCTTGAGTAAGATGTGCGCCAGATTTCTTCCATCAAAATTGTTTACTGCATTGTATCTTCAGTTAAGATGCACAACTCGTTCTTCATGATTGTAAAACTGCAATGTTTCAAAAACAAGAAACCCCAAATCTGTATTTTGACATGAATTGAACCTGAATTCAGCCAATTTCCCATTTTTTCGATTATAATAAGTTTTTCCGGGTTAAAATTGGTCCGAAATTCCGAAATAGGAACAGCATAATTCACACCTAAACTTCCAAGTTTTTTTAATGCATCAGCCCATGACACGCACCATCTTTTTCCTCTCATATTTCAGATATTTGAAAAAAGATTTGCATGGTTTTCTGAGTAAATACAGTAATACAATTTTTAAAATTCACTCAAAATCATCATTTTACTTCGAAAAACCCCTTCTTACATAGAATCAATTTTGGATTTAGTGAAAATAGATGTTGCCAAAGTTAGTTTTGCATATCATGTGAAATGCATTACAAATTGTCAACATATCAACAGAAGTTTGATTCAAGAATTTCATCATTCATAGATCCAACTTTCCATTCAAAGCAAGACTGTCAAAATGTTCAAAAAACCCCTCTCACTTCCCCGCCCCTCCTCAATTTTGAGAAAAAATATGCATGTGGTAATCAAGTAAACACAGTGTATCCTGTAGAAAAAATTAATCTTGGGTTATGTAAAATTAAAAGGACATCTCATGTCTGCCAAGACACAGGATCAGGTTTATGTCAAAAATTCACCTGGAAAATTCAGTTGTAAAAAAAAACACGCCAATACACGATTTACAACTTAATATCCAATGCAATCGGACAATGATCACTGCCCAAGACATCAGCCAAAATCCTGTTGTCACACACTTGATCCATGAATCTCTTGGACACAATGAAGTAGTCCAGTCTCCAGCCAACATTTTTTCCCCTCGCATTGCCCATGTAAGTCCAGAAGGTGTAAGCTCCAGTTTTTCCAGGGTAAAACTGGCGGAATGTGTCCAGGAAACCAGTTTCTAGAAGAGTGCTGAAACCGTCTCTTTCTTCTTGAGTGAAACCAGCGTTTTTTTTGTTGGACTTGGGATTGGCAAGATCTAGCAAAAAAGGAAATGTCAATTTTCATCAGGGAAAATTTTTAAGCTTCAAATACATTTTTTGGTGGACATTTTCACTTGCAAACCTGACCAAACTTTATTGGGTTCATACCTTTTAATATAAAAATCAAAAATATTAAAGGAAAAAAAACTAGCTGAAACCATCAAAAGGAAAGATTTAATAATATTGAAATTATTTTGAGCTTCAAATACATTTTCTGGATATTTCTACTTGCAAACCTGGTCCAATTTTATTGGGGTCATTACTTGGAAAAGAACTGTTGACAACCTGCATATTCATTTTGAAAATTTCTCATGAAATTATCAGATTTTCTTCACAGTCCATCCAACAATTCAAACAGTAATTCTACATAAGAATTATAATAAATATGGGAATCAGTTTTTGACCAACAATCAGATTCATAATTGAAGTGTTACTAACAGATGAAACTATCAAGAGGAAACTATTCGATTTCATTGACATGATTTCATTTAGTGAGAAATACAATTTTCGGATATTTTCATCCAATTTTATTGGGTTAATCACATTTTTTTTAAATTTGGGACATCTTGCATGCTTAATTGAAAAACTTTCCATGAAAATATTCGATTTTCTTTCCATTCGAAGGACCTGAACAGTAACTCTACATCAGAATAATAATCATTAAAGGAATAAAAACTAGTTTTTGACTTCCCATCGGATACATAATTTGAGCATCACCATGGAATAATCCATGAATTCCATAAGTTTAAAAAATCAAAATGAGAAGATTTGATTTTATTGACGCTATTATGAGTTTCAAAAACATTTTCTATATTTTCACTTTTAAACCTGATCCAATTTTAATGGGTTCAAAGCTTTAAAAATAACTTTGGAGAACCTTGAATTTTTCTTTTAAAAATGCTAGTAGGAAAATATTTGATTTTCCTTTGAGTTCAACAATCTGAACAGTAATTCTACAGCAGAAGGAATAAAAACTGCAATTTCAAATGGAATCAGAGACATACTTCACCAAAAAAATATATAAATGTAAAACTCGTTCAGTTGAAAGGATCAAACGGAAAGATTTGATTTCATCGATATGACTTGCAGTACCAAAATTTACTCAACTGCTTTGAATAAGTGTTTTATTGATGGAATTTCAAGCAAATTACCGATTTCGAGGTGCGACACGTTCATGTCCCCAGCAATAATAACCGGCTTCTTTGAGTCCAGATCCTGCAAATATTCCCTGAACTTCACGTCCCATTCTTGGCGAGCTTCCAAGTTCACTAGCCCTCTTCCAGAATTTGGCACATCTTCAAAAATACCAAAGGTTTATTTCATGAAAAAAAGGTCATACAGTAAAATATTGTTACAAGTTTTCCAGATCAGCAAACTTGTTTCTTGAGTCACCGCAGAAATCCCATTGAGTTCATGTTAAACCAATCTTGTTATACCAAGCTTCTCAATTCAATACAGTATTACAACATTTTTTGAGGATTGTTTTATGGATTCTCAAGGTAGAAATTTCCTGAATAAGGCACGCGGACATGGTCTGGAATATCTGCTCCCAAATTTGACTGACTGATTATTAAAGCATGGATGAAAGCTGTGATCAATGACAAACATGCTTCCAAGTGGTTTCCACACATGATCCTCCCAGAGTAAACAGAATTTTACGATTTACAAAATGCATAATTGAAACTAATTAATTTTCATAAGATCACTCAGTATTTCAAAGAATAAAAAATTTGAGAATTCCGGAGAAGCAAGATAATCAGGTCTGATGTGGAAATGTTTTCCAGTCATGAATTTTGAATATCCCATGAAAAAGTATTCAGTGCAAGAAACTTTTTCTGCAGTCCGCAAAGATTCGTTGTAATGAGATTTTACTGTAATAAAATCCAAAATTTTATTCAAATTCATCGCTTACAAACATTGACGAGGTAAAAGGATTCGTATTCCAAGGTGATCACTCGTCCATCGGCGTCGAATTTCGGTACACCGATTCCAAAGGACTTCTTCAAGGGTTTCTGCTTCGTCATGACTCCAACACCAGCGTAACCCTCTTTCAACCCTGGAACCCACACAATCATTTTATAAATTTTTCATCAAAATTTTGATTGATAAAAAAAGATAATTTCTTTTGCTGTACCTGACACCCTCTAAAAGAGCATCGGGAACTAAAACTGTTAAAGGCGCCCGTAAAAACGCAGCCTTGTAAAGCAGAGAACCTTTGTTTACTGCAGACCTCTTTTAAATAGCTACTTGAGCCAAGGAAAAAAGACGTTATCATGCGAAGGAAGAACACAGAACGAAATTTTGCACTGAGTCGACCAAAGAGAATTACAAACAGTAGCTCCAAAACGGTTCACGCAATCAAAATTATTGTACATACTTAGCCAACCAATTATCTTCGAAAAAATGTCCATCATTTTGATTTCAACTGTGGAAAAATTATAGCGCATTTAAATTGAATACAATACGAAAGAATATTTTCACGAGCTTCTCATTAAGAATTTAATGCATTAAAACACAATTCGTCCTCAAATATCGAATGAAATCCCGTGACTAATAAATCATTGAATGAACAAACAAATTTACCAACATTCACACTTGAATATTTAGTCAATCAATACTCTGAAATAATGTCCACGACTTCGAATCAGAGAGAAAAAGTAATGCAGATTTAATCTACAAACAAAACAAAACAAAAAATTCTAACGTGAGTTTCAACAAAATTCGCCAGCATTTAAACAAAATTTATCCTCGAGTCGAATGAAATCATGAGACTAATCGATCATTTCATAAAACAAATTAACAAAAGATATAATTTGAAACTTTAGTCAATCACTTTTCTTATAAATAATGTTCACAATTTTTACTTCAACTGCGGAAAAGTACGGTAATGCGAATTTGAAAACTAAAATACCGTGTCACATACTTCTCAACGAAATTCTAATGCATTTTAGCATAGTTCGTCCTTAATCCGAATTAAATCACGAGACTAATGGATCATTAAATGTAGCAACAAATTTTATTTCTAGAGAAGAGTGAAAATTCCGGGGTAATTTTTGAGTCACTCGTTTTAAATTGAATAAATTCAACTTTTTTTTTTGTTCACGTGTCACTCGATCAATTTTTCACTTGAATCATGGAAGCACTGAAACTGACCTTGACCCAGGCTCGCATTCCAGCCACATTCCAGCTGACAATAGTGAAATTCGCTCCTTCTTTGGTAGGAAGTCCTTCCACGGGTTCGTCGTCTGTCTTCACCTTCTTGGCAGGTTTCTCAGAGACATTCTGAGGGTATTAAACAATATTCAAATCAAATCCCGCAAGGGATGGGAAAAAATTACTGTAATTGGCAAGCAAAAATATTACCTGTTTTCGCTTTGGCATTTTTGGGACGAAGCTGGTCACGGATTGGAAGCGCGATTCACACACGAACCTGAGAATTCCAGCCAGATTTCGGAAACGAAATGAGCACAGGAATTTCGAAAATCTTCGGAACAACAAAAACGAGCGAATCTTTCAGAAAAACGAGTTCGCACTCAGTCCGCAATGAATCATTCTATGGCGTATCACATCAAACCGTCTTCAGAGATCTGAAATGAATATCTCACGATCACATTTTAAGAAAAGTAATTCGAAATCATGTGCCAAAACTCACCCACATCAGGCGATGTTCAGAAGGTCTCAGCCGAATGAGCGGAAAAACTTCTTGAAATGCTCCACGAGTTGGTGCTGAAAAATAAGCGCAGGGACCAACACAGGTTTGCCAACTGTTCTCAATTGCAGAACTTCGAAAAAAAAAATGCTCATAACGGTCGGAAAATTTACAATTACGAACACAAAACTCAAGTTAAACTAAGGTTCTAAAATATTGGAACTGAAGTACAGGCCAAATCTCGATTACGTCTCGAACTTTCGGGGGAAAGAATTCGTAATAGGCTGTGCATCAGACATGTACTGTATTTTCAATAAGCAGAATTACTTTACAGTTGCAGAAATATAAAATTTGAAACTTCCACGGCATTTCCAAGTACAGTCACACCTCAATAATTCAAACCTCTTCAATTCAAATTCTCCATCAAGCATACATGTCGGAATTCCCTTAGAAACAATCTCCCTTACTCGAATTTTCTGGAGGCCTTCTGGCAATTATTTTATTGACTCAGAAAGGAGGAAAGGAATACAAATTTACCTTGATTTGTATTGAAAATAAGAGACTAATTGGGAAATTTTTGAATATCCGGTCGTCATATTTCAAAATGACTGCAGTCTTGAATTGACATAAAACCAAGGGCACTTCTGCGTCATGACTTCCCTGGTCAACCGAAACAAACCCAACATCACCAAGTCCAATTCTGCACATTTCAACACACGAATTCCAACCACCTCCGAGCTCAGCACAGAGACCACAAAACCAATCTAATGACAAAAACCACTTCTTTTCTTCCGAAGTCAACTTTACACAAACGGGAAAAAAGCAGAACGGGACTTCGCATGAGGTCTGCCATCACTACAGAAGTGGCAACAAACTAAGAACCCCCACCAAGAACTGAAACCCATGCTTCAGAAATTCATCAGGTTGAAGCCTTNTTCTTTTCTTCCGAAGTCAACTTTACACAAACGGGAAAAAAGCAGAACGGGACTTCGCATGAGGTCTGCCATCACTACAGAAGTGGCAACAAACTAAGAACCCCCACCAAGAACTGAAACCCATGCTTCAGAAATTCATCAGGTTGAAGCCTTTACTTCGTCGTAGAACAGAAAATAGAGTCATCGCAAACAGTAAAAAACATGTAACAAAAATTGCCGAATGTCACGAGTAAAAGGCCTAACACCATTGGCCAATATTCAGAGTCGTCTCATTTTAATCACTGGCAGAAATTACCTGGACCTGTGTTCCGAAAACACTCGGAAACCCGTAAGAATCCTTGGCATCCAAAAACCGCTTCTCAACTTCCGGAACAGCGAGATTAGCATCCAATGTCATGACTTGACACCCACTATTCGCAATCCACGCCTCGTGGAGTTCATGCAAAGATTTGAGGTAGTTTAAAGAAATGCTTTGCTCTTCGGGACGTCCCCGAGATTTGATCCTGTTGTGAACAGTTTCGGGACACGTGCGGAGATATACGATAACGTCTGGGTTCACATTTCGATTTTCGCGGATCCATTTGTACCATTCGTCCAGAACTGCGTATTCTGCTGAAGTCATGTTCCCGCTTCTGAACAGGTTTTCCACGAAACAGTGACGAGCCGAGTGGATCGACCTCTCCATCACCTTTCAGAGAAACACTTCGAAATCCTCATCCGAAATCATCACAGGATTTTGAAAACCTCACCTTCATCGGAGCATTCGCGGGACATTCGTGCACCTTGAGCATAGTGAGCTGAACATAGTGCTGGAACGCGAAACTCCATCGTTTCGGGTCAGAATAAAGCAGTTGCAAAAGATTGTGAGATCCCGAGACCCCAGGCACTGATCGCCATTCTTTCACGGGCTCCTCGAACGTATGAACATCAGCGAGCTTCTTGAAGGAATTCACGAAAGTCGTTTTCCCACTCGCAATATTTCCTTCTATACAAACGACCATTGGACGAGACATGGGCACTTTCGGAGGCATTTTGTGGGAGATCGGGCAATATTACGTCTATAGAGAATATCACGATGTCTGCGAAACGAATTTGGTGTTGAATTATCGTAGCGAACAAGCAGCGGGAATCGAGTCAATCAAAAAGATAAGATGGACGACAGTTAAAGTACTCAGGCTCAATCTGCTGTATTTCATTCATCATGCACTACTGGATCAGTGTCCCTCCAACGCCGACTGCCACTTGCACAGAAACCCGGCTCATCAAGTGTTCCCTCTGCAAAAAATTACGATAAATTCATACAAGAAGCGCGAATCTCTCAAGATCTGTATATTTCGCTTCATCAGACATCTGGTTGACGAATATTTCGAATAATTCTGTTTAAAACTACCCAGATGACGTTCGAGACATTCGGGAAATGATATACTCACGGAAATGGTTGAAATAATGGTTTTTGGCGGCAAGCATTTCGGGTGAGCCTAAAACGCGAACAGGAGCAAGAAGGCCATCATCAAGCAGAAAAGACCCATGGCCTCTGACAATGCAAATCCCAGGATGGCGTAGCTGAAAAGCTGTTGCTTGAGTGACGGATTTCGCGCATAACCGATGATCAAGGAACCAAAGACACTGCCGATTCCAGCACCTGGACGTAATACAGCAATTAAGAACAGTTCCGACGGAGAAACGATTTCAAGAGGAACATTTTTGGCATACCTGAACCGGCGACACCGACTGTGGCGGCTCCAGCACCAATGAATTTCGCAGCGGAATCGATATCTCGCTGCACAGCGGATGTCTGAAGGGTGTTCAGGAAGGAAAGCAACGGTGAGCTGGCAGGCAGCAAAGCTGACTCAAGTTTCCTTTCTGCTACTTGGCCCCCGTTCACGGAACTTGCCAATGGACTGGCACTCAGTCGGGCGGAGTTGATGATCTACACGGAAAAAGAATACACAATGTACACTCAGTAACAGGTATGGATAGTATCAATTCATGTATTTCGCTCACATTCCATCGTGCAACTGCAGCAGATCGGAGCATCTTGCGGCTTGTTTCTTTCGGAATAGAGACGGAAAGGCGCAAAAGTTACCGGGCAAACAGTTGCAATGACCTGAAGACGAAAAATGAACAAAAATCGTTACCGGCTCTTCTGCCATAATTCTTCAATGTCACAGAAGTTCAACTCTCAGAATTGCGGCACTGATTCCAGATTTTCAGGGCGTTCATCTCCGAGAAAAACCCGGAACCCCTACCAGCTTCAGCACACTTCCGCGTAAGAATCTTCAGTCATCCAGAATTCCGCATCTTGAGCAGCGGTAATATCATGGCGCGACGTTATGGTACAACGTCCGCTCAACGCCGCTCCATTCAACGCTACCTCTTTCACGCCACCCCTAGGAGCGCCAGCCTCTCATTGAGTGACTTTGACTGCAATGCTTTGGTGGTGTAAAATGTAAATGGAGACTCTGAGGGACAAATAACATTGTGCACATATGAAAACACCTTTTTTTAATAAATAAAAGTACATGGTACTTTCCTATTATCTCTGTACCTCATTCCTAGACCACACTAGCATCCAGACAAATCTTTATGACAAGTTCATAATCACACCAACCTACCAGAAACTGTGAATTTTATTTTTCCGCTTTCTGCTGAAACTGATTTTGGGAGGCAGTTAGGTTAGGTCAGGTTATTTTAATTAAAAGATATTTGCAACTAACATAACATGGAGGTGGTTATGTAAAGTTAGGTTAGGTCAGGTTATGCTAATTGAAAGATATTTGTAAATAATATAACATAACCTGACCTAACCTACTACAGCATTGAGCCTTTGGAGTGGTGTCACATTCAAGGAATTAATTCTTTTAAAAAATAATTCTTTTCTGGCTGTGTTTGGAAGTTATTTGCACAAATCAGTGGTAGTGATGGAATACCTTTGAATGTGTTAACCATTTGGCTCTAACTGAATACTACTCATAAAATAACAAGAATAAAACAATACAAATGCTGCAAGTTCATGTATTGAATAGTATTTTATCTTCCTACACCATTCTTCAACATGTAATTCCTAACTGCAAGCATGCGCAATTCATAAAGTCACTCAATCCTGGCGTTGAGGGATGGCGTGGAAAGGAACATTCCTCTGGGAAGGCAGCGTGGAAGTCAGTGACGTTAAGTTGGAATGTGTACCATAACGTCCGGTCATCACAATCATTCACAGTAAAATGGCACGTCCCAGCCATAGTTTTCAAGTATGCTGATGCGAAGTCTAGATGTCACACTGATCATAATGATCAGGTATTTCTTGTCCGTGACGAGTGGACCAAAACCTTTGGCACTCGAAAGCTAAAACCCACAAAAATATCTGAACATATACAGTACCGTATTGAAAATTGGGCTTCAACTCACATACAATTTTCTTATTTGCTGATCCTATTCATTTGGTTTCCTATTTCTCTCATTTAAAGTCTAGATGTCGTACTTTATCATACGGATCATACGACGGAAAGGTACCGTAATGGGAAATTCAAGAAATCAATTTTTTTCTTGTATACTGTATAACCATTGCAGTGTAACATGGGGAGAAATCCATGTGAAAAATATGTTACACTGTCCAGATAAAATTGTTGTAAACAAGATTACTGTAGCGTGGGGATGCAGAATCACGGCCCTTAATAATATGTACTGTATATACATTAGCTATATGGGTTCATGACCAGCATGCGACTGCAGATTAACATTTTTCTTTGAACTGAATTTTCATTAATTAACCTTTTGGAGTAGTGTATGGTATTTCTTTGTCCAAGTTTCCAAAAGGTAGAATAAAAAAGGTGAAAGATAAAAAAAAAATAATAATAATTATATAGGTGAAATTAAGGAACCATTGAAAATGTATTGTGTGTTTAGATCATGACAATATGTATGAAATATGGGTACAGTGTATAGAGAACTGTATAGAGAACCCTGCACACCGTATATATGCTGGGACGAACAAAATTGTTTTTTACTGAGACAATTATTATATATACACGATTTGTGTGTAGAAATTGAGCCTCCTTGCAGGATGATTTATTTGAGTCCGAGTATTTATCTTGTAATATCTGTTATACTTTGTAGTGCATATACCAATCTTGCTTAAACGACTAATTTTTGCACCTGCCTCTGTGGGACAGAATTTCTACCCCAATTCAGTTAATAAATTGACCGTAACATTTGGAGAAAATGTTATTACCTCATGCAGCATTGAAAGTCTTCCACTGTCTTGTTACAAAAATATCTTCAGCATTAAACTATTTCAGCCCCAAATATTCTTAAAATCACGAATCTTCAAGGTGATGGTCTTGCGCATTTATAAAAAAAAATTCAAGGGACCCGAAAAACTTTTTTTGGGAGATAGCCCTCATGAAATTTATTAAATGCAGAAAACCATTGTAGATAAGATTGTTGTAGAGAGACCATATGTATGCCAATATTTTTGTTACAATTAAATTTTTCCAGGGCCCTGGCGATTCTTCACATTAATGTTTTACTGTAATGTTATGCATTACATAATTTTAGACATTGGGAAGGTTTATGGGATATATATATATGCAGTAGCAGGATTAACTTTTGCACTTATAGTCACTAAATATGATTTAATATGAACAGAACGAAGGAGAAGAAATAACTTCACAATATTTTATTCAACAAGATCAAAAAGCACAACGTCTAAATTTTCTTTGTCGCTTCAGAAAAAATAAGGGTTGAAAAAAGGCACAAGAAAATCAAAATCAAATCATACAATACGATAATTCTTGCGTCACGTGATCGTCGTCACATAAACGAAACATCTCAAAAGTCACTCTTCACACGGCAATATACATAAACTTGCGTCAAAAACCGACTCATTCAGGACATAGATCAGATACATGTCAACGCATTAGTTGTTGGAAAGCAGACCGACCACCTTTCGCCTGAGTGTCTTTCTTTGCCTTCGCCTTTTTCCGCTGCTCGTCCACAGCAAAACACTTCCATATCCTCAAAGTTTCATCAGCACCAGCCGTGACGATCGTCGTGCTATCGGGACTAAGTGCCATGTCCAAGATGCGAGACTCGTGACCCTCCAAACGGGCCACTTTTTCCAGACTCGGTGCTTTCCAGATAATGATTTGATTGCTGGAGTGGCCGTGGGCAGATACGAGTTCGTGATACTCTTCTGACCACGCGAGAGCAGAAACTTGCGACTGGGTGTCAACCTGTATAGAATTTGAACCGTGTCAGGAGCAACACTGATGTAAATCACAAAATGTACCACAGTAAAATCTCATTACAATACACTTTCTCGAGGCAACAGTGATGTAAATCACAAAATTTACCACAGTAAAATCTCATTACAATCCACTTTTGGAGAATATTTGCCGACCATGTGGGAGACTCATCTTTGTACAACACTGTATTGCGCATCTAGGGTTCATTTTGTTTTAAAAAGAGTAATGTCATGTCTATACACATGCCTCATTTCAATAAATCACAAGAATGAAGTACAGTACAGTATTGTTACAACTTCAGGGACCTCAGAAAAAGTTTGTTATACTGAATAATTTGTTGTAACAAGATTTTCAAAATTAATGATCAAAAACATTTTTACATCAGACCTGACTGCATGTAATGAATTCATTCTTGCTTTTCTGGCATCCTCAGATTTTTTTTTACTGTTTTAAAACTGAGTCCTGTTTTGAAAATAAATTAGCTGTCATGCATTTTATCAATTGATACATTCTGTTTATTCTGAGACAATGTTGTTCGGGATTCCTTGGAAGCATGTTTGTCATTAATTACAGCTTTCATCCATGCTAGAAGAACCAATGGGCCACATCTGGGATCAAAAATTTCTTACTGTGCATGTCTTAGGAAATTTCTACCAAGGGAATGTCTATTATAAAAATTCCTCAAAAAGTGTGTTACACTGAGATTGGGAAGTTTGTCATAAGATTGTTTCAACGTGTACCCCATGGACTTTTTTGCTGACTTGAAAAAGTTTGTTATGCTGAAACATTTGTTTTACTGAAACAGTATTAGTTAAAAATGATACTTTACTGCAGGAAGCATCAAACTGTAATGTTCTTACTTGTGGATTATGATTTATTCATTTTTCAAAAATTTGATAGTGGTCAGAGTTCAATGTGGAACTAAATTTATGAGAAAATGTTTACCACAGTAGGAAATGAACCCCAATTCGGGGTCAGATTTCCAAAAATAAAAGGTGCATTCGGCAATAAAATTATCATTTTTTTCTTGGGACCCTGAAAAACTTCATCATGAACAAATTTTGGTAAACCGAAAGTAAAATAATATTCTGGCTATTTGGGGACGAGACTAAAATATTAATTTGTTGTAAGTATTATTTCGTCTTAAAGAGATTTGTTATAACTAGGTTCTATTATAATCAGTGAAATCTTGCTAAAACAAAGCTATTGGGACCTGGGGAAAGCTTCGTCAAAACAATGAATTTAATTTTAAAATGATTTGAAAAACATTGTTGCTATTGGGCATCAGGGACCTGCATGAAAAACAAATTCTTTGTGCATAATTGACATTCTCCTCAGAAGAATCCACTCACAACGAATAATCGATTATAACGAATTCGTCTTTTTATAGATCCCTGTCCAATAGCTACAATATGTCACTCGAGTTGGCTCATCACGAATTTTTCGTTATAACGAAGCTATTCTTGTTGCCATGCTATTTCACATTGTACTATAACACCATAAACATGCCTCTTTCAGAAGAGCTCCCGACGTCACATTCCAAATACGAATAGCTCGATCATTCGTACCGCCGCCAGATGCCAGAACGTACGACCGCCACGGACACCAAGAAAGCGCCTTAACAGCGGCTTGGTGATGCGTGAAAATGGACACCGGCTCCGAATCACTGTCCACTGATCGTCCATCCGCCGTTTCCCCAGCAGCCCAAATCTTTACCGTGTTATCATTCCCACCGGAAGCCAGGTATTTCTTGTCAGGAGACCAAGACAGGCCACACACTTCCAGTCCACTGTGGGCTTCAGGCAAAGAAGCCACGCAAAACTGCGGAACTCGGACATCGTAGTGATGGATGCTACCGGAACCGGATCCCGAGCTGATGACGTACTCGTTCCAGGATAAACACGGAACTCTGGATGTGTGGCCTCGCATTCGTCGAACGCGTCGACTAGCGGCAACGTCGTACAGCTGAACGACAATAACACCACGATTTAGATCGTTTTTCAGTCAGGAATTTCACACGAAACATACCCAGACTTCTCCGTTACTCGTTCCCACTGCGAGATGAGATCCAGCAGCCACCCAAGCAACTGCAGTGGCTGTGATATCTTCGCTTTCTTCCGCGTCGAGGCTGGCGAGAGTGAAGATTTCCGAAGTACTAGCGTTCCAAACATACACGGATTCTGAGAGGGCGACTGCGACGTGATTGCTTTTCGACCAATCGATGGGATGCAGATAAAAATCATCGACTAATGCCGGGGCATCGAGGATTCGATCAGGCTTGGTGGCTATGAATCGACCAGCTGCCTTGTGAACAGATGGCGGCAGGGAACTCTGAGTGTAGACAACCTGGAAAAAGATACGAAAAACAGTTGAACGTTGATAACTCGAACTTCTCCGAGTCGAACTCATCTCCAGGTCAAATTTTGTTCAGTCACTCTCTGAAGTTTTTTTAGGTACAATGGCCATCAAAAAGGGACTCGGAAAGCGTGACATCGTTGTACCTTCAAGGAATTTATGTGATCATCAGGAGCTGCCGCTGGCTTGACGGAATATGAAAATATTCTCTCCTTGTCGCTGACTTTCAAGTGGTCATCGAGTAGTCTTTGGTGGGCAGTTGTTTCCTCGGAAGCCTCTCCTTCATGATCAGAACCTTCGTTCTCTTGTGCTGAGGGCTGTGATTTCATGAGATTGTGATGTGCAACATCGAACTGAGAATTCGTGCGTACGGGGATCAGACGGTCGGCAAATGCAGTTCGTTTGCTGGCGTCATTACCTAAACAGGAAGAAACATCAGATATAAACCGGCAGGAAATTTTGCTTCCGAAAGCTAATAGCATACCTGGGGTCAAGCCACTTTTGGATTTTTTCGAAGACATTTTCTTCGATTCTGATGCACTTTTGTTGATTTTCCCGCTTTTATCTTTCGGTGTTTTCGGGATATTCGATCTGCTCGAGTTGAATCCAGCAACTGAACCGCTCACATTCGCCAAAGAACTGTTGGACGCGTTAGCCATTCTGAAATGCCGGAGACAGTTTTGTTGAACTTCGTAACATTTCGAAACAAAATACTATGCATCAGGCGGTACTGCTGCATCTTGAAAAACTCACCCCAACCGTTCCCATCTGGGGGCTGGACCCTTCGTCAAAGGCGCATCCATTCTCACTGTTTGCTTTAAATCATTTTCCAACTGGAAGTAATTAAGGCTGGACATTCTATCGTCGTCCAGGACACTGGGAATTTGATTCGCTGAAATCAATCAATCAGACGAATCCCTGTGAATAATATAAGATATTTCCTTCATCATTCGATATCTCACGCACACCGTAACAATAATAACGGAAACATCAGCGTTCGCCGAACTCGAGAACGACTGCCGAAGATAAAAACTCGAAACAAACCGCTTCATTCGAGGCGATTACACAAGGAGTAGGCATTACACATTTCGAAACTGTTCCCCAATTCCGCCGCGCGGCGCGTAGAACGATGCGGCAGATGCCGTGACACTGCGCTGTGCATTTCACAGTTATTTAAATAGATGTCGCTTTTTTACACACACGCAAATGATTCTACAGCAACGACACTTTGTGTTTGTCTCACAAGTTCCTGCTGCTCGTCGACACTTGGACTTGATGCATCCGTTTCGGGCGTTCGGAAGGAATTTAGTGAGATCGTCGTTCGGAGTGCTGCGAAAAATTGTCAAGATTTAAAAGATGCGTCTTGAATTTTGATATCGGATAGAGGGCGTATCTACCATGACCGTAGCATGATATACATACTGTATGTGAAACTCCACGGGAAAGTGGTGAACGTGCAGTCTTCATCTGGACTGAACCTTTTCTGCATTGTTTTAGAAGTGGGTTGCTCTGGGTAACTAACCGTGTGCGGAACACCAAAAGAATGCTCTTCGAATCACAAAATGAGACGATCCAGCATCCGCGAGAAGAATGACGGGGAAGAAGCAGTCCCGCTCAACAATCGCGGAACAGTAAGTCCTTTATCACAGGTCAGCCCAGCACGTAAACCAAAATGTTTATTTTGTATTCACAGCCTGCTAGAATCAGGAAACCGAACAGAGCCCTCTTCGACGGGGATTTCGTCGAAGTGAACCTAAATGGCAAAAAGAGAAGACCCGCGGATGGAGAAAAAGTCTCCGAATCCGCCTCCTCGACTCCTAAACGTCTAAAGCATTCTCTTCTCACAACCCCTTCACCCCGTAAATGCAACGCAGATGCAGTGAAAAACTCCAGGAAAGTGTCTTCTTCTAAACGTACCTTGAATTTGTCTGAACCGAAACCGGTGGATGATGATGACGAGAGTGCAACGCCGAAAAGATCTGTTCGTGCGAGCAGAAGCAAACCTCAGAACGATGCTACTCCTGTTCGAAAGTCCGCGAGGAAACCAGAGCCGAACAAACGCTTCCTCGATCCCGATGAGATCGTTGATCTCCCGAATCTACTCGGCCAATGTGAGCGAAGAATGATTACTCATCTCTCTTCACCCCGAAAAACATAAGGTTAATTTTCTTCGCAGCCCCGAGGAAGAAATCGGAACAAGAGGGCAAGTCTTCCCGTAAATCTAGTCGTTCTAGTTCAGCATCCGTGTCCACCCGCGAGAGAAACATTCCGAGTCCCATTTTGGAGGAGCAGCTTTCACCGAAAATCCCACTCAAGGAACTTTCTGAGGAAGAATTTCTGAACCCATCGAGTGAACCCGACGATTCTTCAGACGAAGATGATGACTCTTCTGAGGCTTCTCGTAACTCTTCAAAATATTCCACCTACAATCCGTTGAAGGCGTTCCTGCCGAAGTCTTCGAAAAATTCGAAACGGTTTCGTGGTGTGAAATTTGTCGTGGAGGATGAGAAACCGAAGATGGAGAAAACGGTGACCAGAGTGTTATCGAAGGAGGAACGACGGAATCGTTTGGGTCGTAGGAAGGAAGTTTTAAAGCAGTCTAGGATTTCCATGAAAGTGATGCGATGTTTGAAACGAAGACCGACGCTTCAGTGGGTGGCATATGAGTGGTTCTACGGGCATGTCGATGTGTGAGTGAAATTCATTTGTTTGAGCTCTTGAGAGTGGAATATTCTCGGAAATTCTTTTCTAGTGAAATTATTTTGAATGGGAAGCACGCGGTAGAGAATCACGCACATTCTGTGAACGACGTAAATGGTTCAGTGTTGCAAATCACCGAACGAAAATCGTCATTGCTAAAATTATAAATTTAAAAGTAAGAAAATTATCTTATAACCAGGAGATTTTTAAAATGTTGTCCAAGATCGGAGTTCATGTTTTCTTCGTTCGTTCTAGACCAATCTTCTTCGGAGATAATCCATTTTTGACGTGTTTGCGGGAGAATTTTCCGAAATTGCTCGAGCTGAGCCATGGAAAGGTGCTGAAGATGACGCGAACTGAATGGAACTTCGTTCGAAAGCGCTTTGGAAAACCTCGTCGATTCTCTGCGGTAAGGATATTACTTATGCATCGTCCGTGTTATTGTCGTGAGCAAATTGTAACCAAGTATCTATCATCTAGAAAGTAGTTTGCCCTCTTTTTGGGCCTGTGAAGTGCTAATCCAGTGAATTCGCTTCTTAAAAGCTCGAAGAATCTTTCATAATTTGGTTTTTAAGCTGGGAAATCGAGGTAAGGATGGTTCTTGCGTTAAAGCGCGTCAAGAGTTGATTGAAAGATGAATTTTGAGAGCTGCATTTGTCCTGAATCATTCGTATTTGCCTCCCGTTCTGATCGAAGTGTCTCAATTAAGTGGCGTGTGATTGTAGTGAGTTCTTTTGTGCAAGCTTTGACACTTTTTGATGCCCATTTCATATGGTGTTTCTTCTAATTTTCAGGCATTTCTTGAAGAAGAAAGAGCAGTATTAGAAATCAGAAGAGATCAAATACGTACATTACAGGCTCGAGAAATCTTCGATTTCAGGTCCATGTGGAAATGTCTTCCTGATCGGATTCCTTTGCCGTTGTGCGTCGGTGAGTGCAATATTTCAGTATTTCTTTATTTGTTTTGGAATGTGAAGTTTGTTCACGAGTTGAATGTCAATTTCATTTTTCTTTTCCCTGCAGGCATGGAAGTGATTGCGTTTCTTCCGGCTCTCTGTGGATTCCACGAAGGTGTGATCCAAGCTGTGAATGGTTTGAAGCACACCTTTAGGATTCGGTTTAATAATCCTAGAATCGGCTGTCAAACGGTTGACGACATCTTCGTCGCTGTGAGTTTTTTATTCATTGTGCAAAAGGGGTTTTTTTGAGAATCCTAATTCAGCGACTTGTTTGTCGAGATGGAGAAAACAATGCAGCCACACTTCGATTTAGTGCCATATTTTGTTCTGGCAGATTATGTGGCACTGAATTAAGGATACATGCGAGGAAGGATTAGTTGAGGGTTTCTACTGTTGGCGAAATAGGCTTGTTGACGGAATTTTTGTACTACTGAGTAAGTTTTATATGAAAGAAAGCCACGACAAAATAATTTGAGGCTCAAATGTAATCTTTTTTGCATTTTATTCAATATATTTAATGAGAGAAAATATTGTATATTTTAGGCATGTTTTGTTGATTGAATGAGCAAAGCTGTTTCTTGAAGTTTTGTTCGATTTTGAGTTTTATTTTAGCCATGCGAAAATTCTCAGGAAAGCTTCCATTCTATTTGTGAAATTTTCAATAAAGGAAGGTGCCGTGCAGTAACAAAAACTTTTTCAACGTTTATAATTCAGAAATAGCATGATCAAAATTATCCTGAGTTTTTGTGTGAGAATGGGTGTGTGATTCTTTGTAATAACCCCATGGTATCTGCCAAAAAAAACATGAATTTCCTTGATATTAGTCCATTTTTCACTAAGGACAAGGAATTTTTCTGGCAGTAATGTGGGATTTCTCTTGAACAACAGAATTCAGGAAGATTTGTTCCAGGAAAATATGTGGCACTAAATTAAGAATTGACTGTAATTTTTTAAAATGTTGTGTTCTAGCGAGGACGGACGTTGAAGGGATTGATAATCCCTCTGAACCAGTACCTGGCGAAGATTAGGAGGCCGAGAAACGCGTCGGCATCCATGTTGCCGATTTACAGCAATCAGCGACAGACGCCGAGATGGCGTCAGTCCAATCCGGGGCGTCCGTCTCCGATCATGGGCGCCATTGATCCGTCTCTGGCCGCGTCGGATGTCCCGTTGAAGGCCATGTTGTTGGAGGGGAACTTGACGCAGTTTCCCTTGCAGTCTTTAGTCAATATTGTGAGTTGGTGTGACTCATTTTTGTTTTCATGGTTTTTGTAAGATTTTGAAGATGAGCTTTTTTTCCTTTGAAGAAGACCAAAACCCTTTTTCCTCAATTTTTTTGTGCTTCTGTGTAAACTAATATACAGTATTTAAATTTACGCAACTTGTGGATGCGGCCTTTGGAGGGAAATAATTGTGATGCCCGTAATTTAATGAGAGATATTAGAAATCAAAATTCGACGTAGACGTGACAATTTTTGTTGGGGTCTTGCAGGATTTTCAGGATGATCTTTTTTCGTTGAAGTCAGTCAGAACTTTTCTTCCCTCGATTTTTCATAGCATAAAATCAGTGCTTTTTCATGCTTCTGCATTGAATTCTCGTAATTTCTGAAAGTGCCCGTTTGACGTGAAAAAGTGTGATGCCCTCGATTTAATAGCTGATTTTAGAAGTAACAATTCCACGCAGATGTGACTATTTTGTTGTTGTGCTCTTTTAAAATTTTCAGGATGACCTTTTTTCGTTGAAGGCATCTAAAAACGTTTCTTCCCTCAAATGTTTTTTTAAAATCATTATCATAAACTCAGAAGTGATCTTCAGGCTTTTGTGTAGAATATGATAATTGGTTTTTGCGGGATGCGGTCATCCGAAGGAAATTACAGTATTTTGATGCTCACGATTCAAAAACAGATTTTAGAAAGAAAAATTCGACGTAGGCGTGAATAAAAATTTTTGTTGTTGTGGTCTCAAGATTTTCAAGGTGACCTTTTTTCGTTGAATGCAGTCAAAGTCTTTCTTCGCTCAATCTTGTTTTATTGTATCCTCAAAATTGCCTTATTCAGGCATCTGTTTAAAATAGAAAAATTGAATTTACGTGATTTCTGACAGTGGCCATTTCAGGGAGATGATTGTGATGCCCGCAAGATTTAGAACAAAAATTCGACGTGCATACAAATGAGTGTATTTGTTTTCTAAGCGTTTGATCAAAATGTTATCACATTTGGAAAAATTTCCTTGATTCAGTTTTCCAACTGAACGTAGCTTGATTTTTCTTTGTGTTCCACAATTCACGAATTATGTTTCACATGTGTCTTTTTCTGAAGCAGAAGGCTGCGCATAATTTTAACTGGAATATATTTCAACTGTTGATTTCAGCACACTTTTAAGAGGAAAAATTCTGCATTTGTGTGTTTCCAGGTGCGGGTGAAGAAGTTGTTGGACATCAAGCACGCGAAAATTGCGGAGTTGAAGGAATTGAACCATCAGGCAGAAGTGACTCGATGTCACGCGAAGGAATACTCGATATTTTTCCAGCGGAAATATTCCACTTTGATTCTCGACTTGGAACGACTCAACTCTGACCTGAATGTTGTCTTGAAAGAGGTCAACAACTACTGCAGAAGAGTAAGGTTTTCCTTATTTTGAAATGATGGCCTTGTTTACGAATTTAACGTTGATTTATTTGAGGGATTTATTTTTCCACTGAGGTTTTTCGTTTAAATAAAATGAATATTGTGAGACTTGTCGATGTGTGAAACGAGTTCATAAAATGGTATATTCTACCTTTGCTTTCAAAAAGACCGCCGTAGTTAAAAATTAAAAGGAAATTGCTCGTGTGTTCCGAAACTATTTTTTGTCTGAATTGACGTTGAGTTTGTTGCGGCATGTGAAAAAGAAGTCCCTGAAGAGAATTTCAAGGGACTAGCAAAAAAGTTTGAGTTGAGGAAATGAGCATTTTTGTTGGGGAAAGGAAGAAAGAATTACAGAACATCGTAATTGGTGATATTCTGGGTCTTGACTTGCGTTTTAGATGAGTTGACGGGATGCTGAACTTTAAGGCAAGGGTTCATTTGCCCAATTAGTCTTCACTTTCCTTCGAAAAGCATCTGACATTTTTTATTACTCTTCTCTTTTCTGTATCGCTAAAATAATCGCGACAAGTCCTCCAGAAAATTCGAGTGTTGGTGGTTTGAGAGGGAAATTTAGAGGTAGGGAGGTTTTTTCTGCATTATTTCTGTGAAAATTCAGAAAGGGACTTGATAAAAAATTTCACATAGTCCGGTTTGAGTTATCGATCTTCAACTATATCAACTTGTGCAAAGGGTCAATTCAAAAATTCTTCCGTTTTTTTTTTTTTCTTCAGGTGGCTCCTGAACAGTTTCCCAAGAGTTTCTCGTTGCTGAAGGACGTGACCATGTCTCAGGCCAAGGCCCTGGTTTCGTCCTACAATGTAGCCGACGGTGATGCCCAGGGCCAAAGAGCTGGTCCATCTAGCAGTAAACCGTCGGTGCACACCGGTGATGTGATTGTAGACGACTCGAACGTGCTTCAGCTCATCACTCGCGTTCTCGCTCTTTTTCTCCAAATCAAGGTTTGTATGTTTTTGCTTATTTTCTCAACATTTATTTCGACACCAAAAAAAAAAGGGAATGAGAGCATAATATTATGGTGTTCGAAAATGTTTCAAAGAGTAGAATGCATTCTGTTCGATTTTCCCGGAATTCTTTGATTTAAAAAAAATTGTTGAACTGGTCCTTTTGTATTTACTGTTTTTAGCGAATCTCGAATTTGAAATTTGAAACCTTTCAATTTTTCGTGAGGTCACTGAAACTTCTCCCGCACACATTTACTTTTGGTCGCTTGAAACGGAAATGAACGGCTGACGTGGACCATGATGCAAGATTGAATTCATGGCAGGGAAATCTTCTGAATTTGTTGATTAAATCCGTCGTTGAATGTCAGTTTCCAGAAAGGCGTCACCTGTATTTCATTTCGAAATAAAATTGATGCCTCTGAATGAAGATTAGCTATCCAAAATCACAAAAATTCGATGTCAAGAGCTAGAATGTAGGATGCCTTATTTGTTTTTGGATGGATAGTTTTTTAATTGAGTTGGGGCTGCTAATAATGAATTGGACGCATGCCCAAAACCAGAAATGACCGAAATTATGTTTGTGAAAGTGCGAATTACGGGTTCGAAATGCTTCATTGAGATCCAACAGTTGACAATAGTTTCTGGAGTCACATTTTGTGTAGGATTTTTTTTCGGCATATTTTTGGTCTGAACGATGATCTCAAGAATAAATGTTATAAAATTTTTAAAATGGTGAAACTCGTTTTGGTCAATAAACTAGGAGTTCGTTGTTTGAAGCATGGTCCGCTCCCCGACGATGATGTCTGTGGCATTTTTTATTGAACTGTGACGTGTGAAGCGATTTTTTGAAAATGAAAATTTTAATTTTGCAGAGTTTTGCTGACAGTAGTCCGCCGTGGAACTCGTACGACTTGAGAGCTTTGACGGACACCATTTCCGAAGCGAAGGCGAATTTGCAGCCGGAAAACGTGGCATTGTTCGAGTCGTGTGTGGAAGTGCAAATCAGACAAGTGCTGGCTGCCATGTCGCAGTCTAAACAAGCAACTTCCGGACTAGAAGAGTCCTCTTCGTCCACCAACGCTTTTCTCCCTGACGAAAACAGATGATATTTTGCGATTTTATTTATGAGTAATTGGTGTATTTTTGTATTGCCGTATGATTATTTTTTGTTTTTGTTTTGCGAGGCGGTTGGATATAGTTTGCGGTATTTTTGTTTGATTGAAGCCCCTTTTTTCGTTGTATTGGATTCAAATGACGGGGTTTAAGGTTGTGTATCTTGTTGTTGCAGGTGTTGATTCTTGTCCAGCATGGCTTTGAGATCCTCGCCGTCTCTGGGCCTGAAAAGGCTGGACAGGCTGGATAGTGTAGTAGGCGGTCGCATAGACCCGGAAGCCAATCCTAATGAACCCGAGATTGAGAGTTTCATGAGGATTTACAATTATGAGAGCACGACGCGACAACTGGATGCTTATTATGGCATTGGTGAGCCAGCAGTTATTTTCTTCTTTCTAAGAAAAGTCGGGGAATAGACTTTCAAAGTCGAAGTTCCAAGGCAGCCGGAACGAATTCGAGTTGAAAAATGTTTCGAGTTACAAGAATTTTTGTTGGGGAAGAGAAGGAAGAATTACTGGATATTGCAATTCGTGATATTCTGGGCAATTTCAAGAGTTTTTGAGTGAGGGAAACTTTTCATTTTTGGAAGATTGAAGGAATTTGAAATGAGTGATTACTATTTTTCAAAGCTTGAAACAACTTTTTAAAGATGAATTGACAGGATGATGACGTTGGAGGCAAGGACAACTCACGTGCAGTCGAAGTCCCTTGCAAAAAATATCTCGTTATGCCTGTAGCGAAATGGTTTTTTTTCCTTGGTCCAAACAGTGTCTTCAGTTTTTATGGAGAACTGAGAAAATCGTTGTAGAGCTTAAATGAGATTCGAAGCCACGTAAATTTCGTCACTCTTTACCCGCTGGTGTAAATTCATGAAATTGATATCTTGTCTTTTCTTTCTTTTGATTTTCTGTTTAGTCAAGCGGCAACTCTTGGCATTCCAGGGATCAGGCTCTGGACTCTGGGCTTACAATTCCACAGACAAAGTCATTGGGGACGTGAGAACGAGCATTTATTGCTCAATCACGGTCTGGGGTTTGTATCAGGCCTACAGGAGAATCGACGATGACCGCGGGAGGTCGTATGAACTCAGTCAGTCGGCTGTCAAGTGCATGCGAGGCATTTTACAGTGCTGGTTGTCTCAGGCGCACTTGATTGAGAAGTTTAAGCAGCAGCAGGCCAGTGACAGCGCGTTGCATTCGAAGTTTCACCTGGAGACTGGGGACGAAATCATCAGTGAGAAGAATTATGGGCATTTGCAGGTTTGTTCCTTGGGATTTCCGTGTATTGTTTACGTTTATCTCTGTTCAAATGTGTGTGTGTATTTGATGTGTAAAGAATGAGGAATAATAGGGAAAATGACAAGTAAAGTACTGTAGAAGATGAAGAAGTATTGTACAATATAGTGGGTCCTTGGTTAACAAACCACTGTGTTGACAATCTTTTGGTTTCCAGGAAAAATCCGTCAGTTAACAAATAAAAATGTGTTCAACAAACTTTTTTTTTTTTGGTTAAAATCCCAAATTTTAAAATTCAAAATTTGATTTCAATGCTAAAATTTATGGTAAATCTAAGTTAACCTTTTCACTGACGTGAAAATTATTTCCTCCAGGCACTTTGATAGGTGTAATTTTGTGTTTTAAAATCTACTTAAGCTACATCATTCATATACTTTTCAACAACAGAATTATTAACTTTTCTGCGCTTGATTTTCTAATTGTTCAATAGTTAGGAAAATCTTTACTTGCCGCATTAAAAAAAGAAATTTTATTTTCACCTGAAAGGTATCCTTCAGTGTGTTTTTCTCTAGATGGGGATGTTTTTTTTTTTAGTTTTCATTGGTGCTACTTCCATATAAGACTGTGAAAGCTTTCTGGGCTCATACAAGATGCAGCAACAACTTATTCTGATTATATTCGATGGTCTTGAGTTTTTGTATTCAATTTTCAATTGTCTCTTGGGTTTTAGGAACAGATTAAATTCTTCACCATTGAAGTCTATAGGAAAATGAAATTCAGTGAACAAACGTTTTGGCTACAAAATTTTCCTCTGGAACCAATTAAGTTTATGAACCAAGTGTCCAATGTAGTGGGACCCCAAGAAGCAGGTGTTATTTGTGCATGGACCTTGTCCCAAAGTTGGAACATCCGCATTTTGGACCTCATTTTCACATCGACTTCGATGGGAATATTTTTGATTGGTTATTTTTTAGATCAATAATTAAGGAAAAGTATCCCCGAAAATTGAATAAAATGATTTTCCTCAACTTTCAGCCATGGAAAATAAACATACAGAAGAAAACCAAACTGAATCTGATCTTTTGACATCAGATAGAGCTCAAGGAGCAAAGAACAAGTCTTGCTATACAGAGCAAAAATTATGGGAAAAACTGAAAAAAGAAGCTCCGAATTGATCTGTTGAGGATTATTAATTAAGGTAATTTTATAATTAAATTTAGTTTCAGTACAGTACAGTATTTGTAAATACAGTATAAATAGCTCAATTTTGAAACGTTTTCAGAAATCTTGGAGAAGTGTCTTGAGTTACTGTCCGGATTTTGGGGAAAGATTTTTTTAGAGTTCCAAGTGTCCCCAAGTCAAATTGTCCATACGTTGGGGTCCCACTGCATTAGATTGTTTGAAATGCTGTATCTAGTGAAAAGAGCAGAGATGTTCATAAAATTTGCTGAAAATTTGAGTTTTACTTTCATGAACGGATCTTTCAAGCATCTCAAGATGTTATTTGCATTTTGGATTGTGCAGAAAAAAAGTTACGGATTGAATATGTTTCAGATCGACGTGGTTTCCCTGTACCTCATTGTGCTCACTCAAATGATCAACGCTGGTCTGCAAATCATCTACACCATGGACGAGGTGTCCTTCATCCAGAATCTAGTCTATTACGTGGAACGAGCATATCGTACTCCAGACTACGGCATTTGGGAGAGAGGAAATAAGTACAACAACGGGACTCCGGAGATTCACGCGAGGTTTTTTTTTCTTCATCTGTGACTTTTTGCGTGATAATAATAATAAATGAGTGATATTTTTATTTTTAGTTCTATTGGAATGGCGAAATCCGCATTGGAGGCTGTGAACGGTCTGAACCTTTTTGGAGACAAGGGAGCTGCTTGGTCTGTCGTTTATGTTGATATTGACGCGCACAACAGGAACAGGTCCATTTTTGAGACGCTTTTGCCCCGGGAATCCAGCTCAAAGGTGAGAATTGGGTCGGATTACGTCGTTTTATTTCATTATTCATCAGACCGGCAGGTAGAATCTCTCTGTTTCTCTACAACGAAATGCAAGGAGCCAAAAAAAAAATTTGTATAGAGAGAAGATTCATGGGACCAGAAAAAATTAATTGCAGAGAAAACATTCATGGGACCAGAAAATATCACGAATTTCTTTAAAATTCACAAAATTCATGGGAGTGGAAAAAAATTCGCAAAGTCTTGAAAATGCACGAAATTTAGAATAAATTAAGTGCTTGAAAAATATTCATGGGGCCAGAAAAAATAATGAAATTATTAAAAATGCAAAAAATTGATGGGATCAGAAAAATTTATGAAATTCACGAAATTCAGAAGAAATTAATTTCGGAGAAAAGATTCATGAGGGCTGAAAAAAAATAATTAAATTGACAAAATTCATGGGATCAGACATTTTTTTTTATTCGCGAGCTTCATTTGACCAGAAAGAATTTTTTTTTAAAGCTTTTTCTTGTAGTATTTTCTAATATATTTTTTTCTTCGCAGAACACTGATTCCTCATTGATCCCCACAATTTTGTTCCCTGCGTTTGCGACTCACGACGACGCGAGCTGCAAGTTGACCAAAGCTAAAGTTATTCGGAAGCTGAAAGGCAAATATGGTTTCAAGAGATTCTTGAGGGACGGCTACGGATCCGTTTTGGAGGATAAGAGTCGTCGGTTTTACCTCGAAGGAGAAACCAAAGTAGAGTACCGAATACATGAAAAAAAACCTGCACACTTGCCTGTGATTTTTTTCATTTTTGTCGTATTTTTTGTGCAGAATTTCGAGAACATCGAGTCGGAGTGGCCGATATTTTACGCGTATCTCGTGATTGACGGGATTTTCAGAAACGACGCCGTCCAGGTGAAGGAGTTTCAGAAGCTGCTGAAGCACACGGTTTTTCAAGATAAACACGGAGGTGAGGAAATATCAGTCGAATTTTATAGGACCAGTAAAAAAAATCGAGTTGATGAGGCTTACAAGTGTTCTTGTTTTTGGGATAAAAAGAAAAATTGGAGGAAATTCTAATCGGTGAGATTCTGGTTCTGAAATTGCTTTTTAAAAAAGTTGACGGGATTCTGAAGTTGGTTCATTAACCAAATTAGTCTTTCACGTCCTTTTAAAACATATCAAGTTACGTTTTTATTGCTTTTCTCTTTCCTGCGTCAATAAAATAATAGGTAAAAGGCCTCGAAGAAAATTCGAGTTGTGGAGCTTTGAGAGGGACAAAAATTTGAGTTAGGGAGGTTTTAATGCCTTTTTTTCTGAGAGAATTTCGGATTGAGAACCAAATTTGACTGAAGTAAGGTTTGAGAGTTTTCGAGGTTCAACTGCAGTTAATTTCATGTGTGCGTATTGTCATTGATATATTTTTTTTGCAGATCGTGTTTTGCCAGAGTATTACTACGTGCCGAGTGATGCAGTTGCTGGAGAGAAGGAGGATCCTGGTTCGCAGAAGAGACTGCCGGTCCCCGAAAGAGGATCTGGGAACCTTTTCCTCTGGGGACAGAGCATTTACATTCTGTCCCAGCTGCTGAATGACGGATTGTTGCACGTGAACGAGTTGGATCCCATTAGGAGATACCTGCCTTCGTACAATCGTCCGCGTCGTGGAGGCCGTTATTCAGCATTCCAGGTGAAGAGAAAAAAATGAAAAGTGACTTAACACAATTTATGCCGAGTTTTTGAAGAAAAAAGGTTTTGTCGGGGGAATTCTGATTATTGAATGGTATGTGTTTTTTTTTCTTCTTTTGTTTTTTCTGAACCTCCTCCTGTGTCCCGGGCGCTTCCGTTCTGCAGGGTCAGATGCAATGGGATGTGAGTAAATGTTGTTGTTGGGCCTTCTGGCGCAGGGAGAGCATTTTCAAAAGTTTTTGTCTGTCAGCCCCTTTGCTTCATTTTGATGCCCCTTGACCCTTTTTAGTTCCCTGTGGGATCCTAGGTTAAAACCTTTTTTTTTTTTCTTCGGGCCAGAATCCTTTTTTTTTAGTTAATTTATAAGATCTGAAAGAAGTTTGAATTGATGAAGTGTTTGCTGATTGAAATCTAGTGTGAAGTTCCGTTTAGGTCATACCTTTGAATTCTGGTTAGTTTTGCGTTTGGATTTAAATTCCTGTAATGTATTTGATTCGAATGTTCTTCTGTTGAACGCGGAAAAGTGTTTTTTTTTCAAAAATTCCGTACAGAAGGTTTTAAAAATGTGCTGACGTGTTTTGGTGTACATTTTGAAGTTGTAGGTAAAAATGTTTCGATCAAGTTTTGATTTAAGCTCAGATTCGAATTACATTGAGTTTTCGTTATAACGAAGCGTTTGGAGACCTGAAGAAAAGCTCCGTGATGAACGCAAATTCGTTTAAACTAAATTAAAATTACATTGTCGCCATTGAATGAGGACCCAAAAAAGGAAAAAATCTTTGTAATTATTGATCCATTTTAACGAGATTCTACTATTACAGTGGAATCTCGTTATAGCGAATTAATTTTTCTGTTTGAAAAAATTCTTGGTATTGTTTTGATTTAGGTTCTAAGTTCTGATCATGTTTTTATTTCAGTTCTAATTCCTGAAATTCATTTAGATTTGTTTCGAATTTTAGTTGTAAAGTTTTTGGTTCGGGTTTCCAACTGATTTGTTTTCAAATTCGGGGTTTCAGTGACGAATTAATTGTCCGTTTTAAAAATTCTTGGTGTAGTTTTGATTTAGGTTCTAAGTTCTGATCATGTTTTTATTGCAATTCGAAATTATGGAATTCATTTAAAATTGTTTCGAATTTTAGTTGTACATACATTTTTTGTTCAGGGTTTTAATCTGAATTCGTTTTCAAAATCGGGGTTTCAGTGGACTAATTCTTAGTTTTCCCGGAGTGTTTTGAAATGGTTTTTTGAGTGATGTCAGCCCATAGAAGTTCTATTTCAGGAGGAGGAACGTGCATGAGGGTGGTGTCCGTTTTTATTTTAGTTGGCCATTTGTGAATTTTCAGGGCCGTGTGCAAATTTCGCAGCACATGGCTGATTCGGCGGAGTCCACACCTGATTCAGCACTGAACCCGATAGGGTTATTTTCTGGCCCCACGCCGGTAATCAATTGTCAGTCCCTCCTAGTCTATAGAACCCTTTGTTTTTAATAGGGTTTCCGTTATGCTTTGGTTTGTCATTGTAAAATTTTGAGTTTATTTTTTTTGTGCATTGCTTTGTTTTTTATTGTGTGATTTTTTCGTTGTTGTTCTTGCAATGTTTGGTTGCGTTGTGTTGAAGTTTTTGCAGAGAATTTTAGGCAAATTTGTGTTGTCCTTATTCTTCCCCGACGCAGTCGTATTCAAGTTGAAATTGATCTAGAATTTAAAAGGACTTGATTTTTACTGAAAAATATTGTCCCACGTCTTCGAATTTTATGATGATGATGAAACTGGTCACTCAAAAAGTTCTTTTGAAAGTTTTCAAGTATGGATGGTATTCTGTCCTTGGTTTTGTCAAACCTCATTTGTTATTGAGCTATTTCAGGGTGGACTCTGTAAACAGTCCAATGTCGTTACAACATAATTTTGAGGACTTCAGATAAAAGTTTGTTACACTGAAAAATGTCAACATTAATGGCTGGAAAATATTTCCACATCAAACGTGCCTAAAATCAATTAGACCTTGCTTTTCTGGCATTCTTGGATTTTTTCATTGTTTGAAAACCTGAGTGATCTTTTAAAAAAGAAATCAGCTTCAATCATACATTTCATTGGTTGCACAAATTTTTTCATTTTTGGAGGATGATGTATGGAACCACTTGGAAGCATGTTTGTCATTGATTACAGCTTTCATCCATGCTACAATAACCAGTTAGTCACGTTTGGGATTATAAATTTCAGACTGCGTCTGCCTGAGTCAGGAAATTTCATCCTTGAGAATCTATTAAACATTCCTCAAAAAAGTTTGTTATACTGGAATTGGGGAGTGTGATATAACAAGATTATTTCAACATGCACTCTGCAGGCTTTCTGCCAGGATTTTAGAAAATATTGTTGTGCTGAAAACTATATTATAACAAGATTTTACTTCACATCAAAGAGATAATGATTTTAGAAATGAAAGAACAAAATGGCTAACAGCTTTTTTATGAATCTTGGCAGAAATCTGAGCACATATTCAGACTTTTTCAAGAAAGTAAATAGGAAAATTCACTCAGTAGATCTCCTTTGTTCAGGATAGAAGCTTTTTAATTTTTTGAAATACAGTACATATATCCCATGCGCCATTTTTCCAAGTCATTTGTGGGGAAGAGAATTGCGCCTATGTTTGGTATATATTTTATTTATTCAAGTTATCATTGTTTCACCCTCCTGTGTTTACGTGCAATTTGTATTTTGTGAGGATTTTCTGTGTTTGTGGGTTTTTTTGTAGATCACCTCACACTAGTGAGAGATTTTTCAAAAATAGTTCTATTTTCTAGTTTGAGATGATAATTTGAGAGAGACGGTGGAATAAATATGGAGTGTCTTTTTTATTTTTGCAGGGAACAGCGAGTGACCTTGTGGTGCAAGTGGTGCTGATCGTGGAGTCCATGAGACTCCAGGCCATGATGGCCACTTATGGCATCCAGACTCAGACGCCGCACGAGGTGGAACCTGTGCAAATCTGGCCACCCAGCGAGTTGGTTAAGGTTTACAGGTACTTGGGAGTCAGCAAAAAACTAGGACTGGATGGAAGACCCTCACGACCCATTGGAGCCCTCGGGACCAGCAAGGTACCATCTAGAAAAATGTTACAGTGAAAATCTCATTGCAACAAATTTGTCAGTGTTCGAAAAAAATATTGCATGGCATTTTTCATAAAATTGAAAAGCGCCTATTATGAACAATGGGGACCTGCAAAGTGAATTTTTTTGTTATTTTGAAGATTTACCGCATCTGGGGTCAAACTGTGCTTTGCTTCCCGCTGGTGTTCGAAGTCTCGGATTTTTACCTGTCGCATGACATGTCACTGTTGATTGACGACATCAGGACGGAGTTGCAGTTTGTTGGGAAGAATTGGAAAGTTTCAGGACGTCCGACTGTTTGCTTGCTCATACGTGAAGATCACATGAGGTACTGCATCTTGTTGAAGAATTTTGAAAAAAGATTAGCTCGACTTGATGTATATATATATATTTTTTTTTGCAGAGATTCGAAATTCCGCGAAATGCTAGACTTGTTGGCACAACTTAAATCGGGACACTGCAACGGACTGAAAGTTCGAACAGGACGCTTGCAAAATCTCATCGCGTCTTCTTGTCTAGGTTTGAATACCCGTGTTTTTTTTTCAAGCGGGATTTTGTAGATTTTCAATTTTTTTTAATAGAGCATTTGGATTTTCTGAACATGGTTGATTCGAGTCAGATCGAGATAAACGCTTTTGAACAAGTGCAACACGCTTCCATCGGTTACCAGAGTTTGACTGATATTCCGAAAGCCATCGTCTTCAATGAAAAAAGAATGGACTTCACGGTTGGTTGGAACATTTTCTTTGTAGAATGAGTTGCCTCGAAATATTCATCGCTAAAATGGTTTCAAGGAATTCAATGTAATTAACGGAATATACTGTGTACTAATGAAATTCGAACAGAAGTGTATAAATTGAATATATTTTCGAAGTAGACGAGGGTTGAAGCCATTTTTATTCATACTCTCTTGTTGCAATGGAGGATAGAACATGATACAGTATTGAGTTTAACCTTTGCAAGTCTGTGGGAAATTTTATTCAGCATAATGAAATCATCAAAGTTAGTGACAAAGTTTTTTATTTTTGCTCTGAAATTTTGCCAAGACAATGGCAATTGAAATCATCTGATGAAAAGTGTAAAAAGTTGGGTTTTCTCCTAATTACTCTGCAATCAACTGGTGAAATAAATTATTTAAAGTGTTCATTCTGAGAAACCTTTCTTGAAGCCCACCTTTCTAATTGTTTGAAGACATTCCTCTATAGGTTCATCATTGGTTCTTGACTTGAGTTTTGCAATAAACATTGAGTACTTTGTGACAGGTATTCAAAATAATGTATTCTTGTCTGCAAATTTTTGTGGAAATATGACAATCCTTGGACCCCAAATGGTCGGGAAATACTGGGAAAGATTACTGTAAAAGGTTTCATTGATGAAACCAAACTTAGAATCTTGAGAATTAGTTTCTCAGGATTTTCTGAATGGGAAAATCACCATTTTTGCAGTTTTCCCAAATTTTTAAAATCAGCATATTTTTGTTTTAATTCTTATCATTGCTTTCTATGTTTTTGGAAATTTCCAGCTTGACAGCACACTGTTTCTTATTTAGAAGAAAATTGAGAATATCTTGAACAGAAAAATTCTGGGATAAAAATATTTGTTTTGGCTGATTTTAATGATTTTCAACTCTGCCCTTGAGTGAGGCAAGACTGAGGTTGAATATCTTGGCTAGGATAACAGTGTACAACTTATTTTGTATTCCAGAAAATTTCGAGGTTGACACCTGACAGTGTTTTTTTGTTTTTGTTTTCTTTTCCATGAACTTCATAGGAATACAAGAACAAGCCAACAAATGAGATTGTGGAGACATTGAGATGTGTGGAGAATCTGTTCGGCCAGGCACAGTTGTTGGGGTACTTGCTGGAGAGAGAAGGGCCAAATTTTCAAATTGACAAGGCCTCAGTGAAGGAAAGACTCACTTTAGTGGACAGACAAGCTGGAACCCTGAGATACTGGACTGTGGTGCGGTATTGCAGCACTCTGCTGAGGAAAATGGTCCATTCAGTGTCTCCTTCAATCACTTCTATCCTAGTGAATGGAAAACAGGTGATGAGCTGGATTTCAGTAACTTTTTATGCAAACTTTGTGATCCTATTAATTGATTTTGCTTACTTGACTAGAATAAAATACTTCTTCACCTCTTGTGCCCCTTTGGCTCTGAAGTCCTTAACTTCAAATCAACTCACAGAATCAATAGAATTTAAACACATTTTTCTATTTCTCTGTACATTATCTTTATTTTCATCATCATTGTTTTCTTTCTTCATTTTCTTTTGCATATTTTTCTTAATTTAATTTTATTTATCCTCTTATTTTGTCACTTCTTTGTTCCTAATTCAAGTTGTCTCAAATCAACAGACTCCTCTTACAAAATAATAATTGCAATGGCTGTATTTTCCTGCAGGACTCTCTAAACAAGGTCCAGATCAACAATTATTGTCATAAGAGTGCTCAGGCACTCTTCTATCAAGTCAGATGTGTACAGACAGTAAAAGTAAACCAGGATGGTCATAAGGTAGACAATTTGTTCAATAAAATGCTCAAATTTGTGACACACACAAAATTTTGACTCGCGTTGCAGAAGTACAAAACCATGATACACATTCTAGGTATTCTTGAGCTATTTTGAAACACATGAAAGAATGAGATGACTAACTCAAAAATCTACTCCTCTTTTATCGAGTCATTCCTGAAATTTATGATGTTTTGAATCAGACAGAATCATTTCAATGCTCTTGCTGTGTTCCTCTCTCTCCAGTTGACAATTGGTGTGCCTTCCAAGGAAGAGATCATAGTGGACAAACCATTGACCCCCGGAGAGTTTCACGTTGTGCTCTACAAGCAAATCGCTCCGCATGACATTTTTCTTCCACCACTACAGCAAGAAATTCTCCTGTATGCTGGCAAACTCATCTCTACACACCCACAATTGTTTGCTGGGATCCTGAAATTCCGCGTGGGGTAAGTTTAATAAACATTTTTTTGTATTCAGAAGATAATGGAAGAAGTTTTTTTTTGAAGATGGGTCCTGAAAGCGATGGAGTTTTATCAAAAGTTCTTTGTCCCTGGAGCTGAGCCACTGGAGGCTGTGAGTCCGAGTGAAATCAGAAGGCTGCTGTTCAAAGTGCTGACTGTCTGGGAATGGGCTCGTGAACTCAAGTAATGTTTCTTCATGTTGTTAAATTCGTGTATACTGTCAAGTTCCGTTACAACGAATGTTTTCGTGAAACCAAATTTTGGTCCCGGCGGTCTCTGCAAGGGGAAAATGTTGAGAGAATTGTGTTGAAGTAAAATCTTGTTACAACGAAGCCGTTGGGACAAGTAAAATGAGTTCGTTGTGAATGAAACTTCATTATTGAACTCATTTTTAGCAATATGGGTATTGTGCATGGGCCTGAAAAACGACTTTAATGTGATCGAATAGTCGTTATAACGAGATTCTACTGTATTACAAACTGATTTTCCTCTGACATCTCAGTAAAACGGAGTTTAGTCTGGATTATGTGCGTGGATTGACCATAGATAATTTCAAAAATTTGCACAATATGGGAAAACACAACTTGTGCGTGTAGTAATTGAAAAACCTTGAAAAATATTAGTGCCAATCTTTTTGCACAGAAAATGCAACACTGCAGAAAGTGTGAAGCTGAAATAATAATTTATTTAGCTGCATTTTGGAACTTTGAAATGGCTAATTAAAAAAAAAAGTACTGTACGCCTGTAAGGATGTTGCTCTATTTCAGGGCATTTTCTGTTAGTTTCAGCTCATACTTCCACATGATTGGCACACATTTTTTAAAGTAAAATTTAAGATAAGGAAGATCTGGAATAAGATGGTTGGTTTTATTTGCAATTTTGAATTTTCTCCATTATTTACATGGAAAGAAGTTTAAAGATGGACAATTTTCATGTATCTGTTGTTAAAGTACCTAATTTAAAGCGTCTGTACGCCTTTTTCCCGCAAAATTTTTGTCCAAAATGCTAAAATAACCATGAATCTTGTTATTAAGGATTTTTTCTCAGGTCCCCTGGAAATTTTTTGTTTCGAGATTTTACTGTACAAGGCCTAAATCGTGGTATTTGAGAAGACAGCAGTATATTTTTTTCTTTATTTTTCAGTGCGGAGCCGTATGTGATACGGAAATTGGAAGGCAGCATGGGACGAGTGCCTTCAGACTTTTTCCAAAGGGTCTGGCATATCATGGGAAAGGCTTCTGGAGGGATTTTCCTCTGTGGGCGTCACTTGCCCAGGGAACCCACTTTGTCAGAGATGACCATGTCTGAGCATGGGTTCGCTCTGAGGATCGAGGACATGATCAAGGATATTCATTGTCCCGAATATCGTCATCTCGTCATTGAGGTGTGATTTTCCGTTTGGAAAAAAAAATTTGTATCTTGTCGTGGGAAGAATTCGATGAAATTTTGTTTCGTAACATCATGAACTACGGTGTGCGTGTGTCCCCGCATAACGAAAGGCCTGAGTGACGAAATATTCGCCCAGCGAAAAAAAAAGTGACTTGAATAACGACGTGTTTGGCCCCAAAGTGCTAAAATTTCAACAAGTAGGTTTCCGACCGGAACTTCAGAATTTCTTTGAAAAAATTTAGAAAAATCTGAATTTACTCAAGTGCTACGTGCACCTTTTTTTCTCAAAATCGAGGGGGAAAAATGGGGTGCGTGTCAAAGGCAGGTACGCACTTTTGAAAGTCTTTTAGAAGTTTAGGTGTGCATTATGCTGAATTCTAGTGGAAAATGTGGGACTAATTTTATCAGAAAAACGTATTTTAATGGAAATAACTGAATAATGCTTAAATTCAATTCATGCCTAAATTCAAAGTTCGGTGTTCTCATTTTTGAAATTCAGTGTTGCTATTTTAGAGTCACTAAAAATGGGATGCGCGGCTTACTTGCGGATTCAATTTCCTCCAAAATTTCAACTGAGAAACACTGGTAAGTGTTCTACTTGAGGGAAGTAAAGTCAGTAAGAAAAAATTGGTATATTTGTGCCTCTTGAATTGTTAAATTGAGAAAGTTCAGAGCAAAAATTCTTTAGAATTATTCGACTTTCATGTAAATTTTATTTTACATTCACAATTTTACGCAAATGAACCAGAGGAAAAGGAACAGTTTTAATGGTTTATTATGGATGTTCGGTGACAGTCTGGAACGAAATAAATCATTCACAAATTAACCTTCAGGAAAATTGGGCTTCGCGTTGCGACAAAATTTCGCATCCAGAAACAGATTTCGTTATGCGAGGACTCGTTGGCGGTTTCTCATACGAAAAACTCGGATTTTTTTTAATGAGACGCGCGAGAAATCGTGGATTTCATTTCCATTGTTTTGCTATTTTGAAAGTTGAAAAAAGGTTTGAAAATTTTGGTTTCTCTTTGCTCGATGATTTATGATGATGAGCAGATGATCCTGGTGATGTCCACTGTGCTGGAAAGGAACCCAGAGCTCAAGTTCTCGGAAGCTGTCGACATTGACATGCTGGTGAAGAACGCCGTGAAACTATTCTGGAAAGACAAGAACGAAGAGGACCCCTCGTCGTCGAAACCCGAAGACCCCATGCATCCCTTCTACCAAGAATCCTTCCCCAGGGTCACTGGCTACCTGGCTCGCGCAGTGGTCAATCATATCTTGTCTGGAAACTTGTCAGCTCTCCAGTCTGATGTCTGTGCCGGCGAGTTGTCAGTGTGTGCAATAGCCTGAATCTCATCGGTGCTCTCCTTTGTAGTAGTGTGTTTTTGTCATCTCTGGAATAATGTAATGACCCCCCCCCCCCCCCCAATGTCCCCCATTTTTTATTTTGGGGTTTGTTTTCTTGGACAAAAGCAGTTGAGTGCTTTTTTGTTCACACTCTTGTGACCCCAAGAGAGCAATTCTAAAGATCAAAAGTGTTCAGAAGAATTCTTGGTGTCTGGAAAGGTTACTCTGCAGTGAGAAATTTGTCCCTCCTAAATGATGAAAAGTTGTGTTACTGTGGGTAGATGTCACGAAAAGGGATGCAGTATAATCTTGTTACAACAAATACTGCAACCACAAATTTATCAATGTAACCCAAGTTTTTCTCTAGCCCTTGCAGAAACCTCACAGATTACATGTTAAAACAATCTTGTTATAACAAACTTTCGAATTCCAGTAAAACAAACTGTTTTGAATGTTCAATAGATTATCCAGATGGAAGTGTCCTGACTGAGGCAGGCACAGTGAAAATGTCTGATCCCAAATGTGACTGAGTGGCTCTTGTAGCATGGATGGACGCTGTGATAAATGAAATACTGTAAATGCTTCCAACAAGTTCTGCACATCATCATCTTAGAACTAAGAAATTGGTGCAACTGATGGAGTGCATGATTGGAGCTAATTTATTTGCAGATCATTCAGTTTTTCAAGCCACAATTAAAAAAAGCTGGAAATGCCAGAAAAGCAAGATCTAATCAATTATACAAGGAGGTCTGATGTACAAATGCTTTCCAGTCATTAATTTTGAAAATCTTGTTATAAGAAATTATTCTATGTAGCTAACTTTTCTCTGAAGTCACCAAAAGCTTGATGTGAAAGGACATTGCTGTGATGAGAGGAAATCAAATGTGGAGAAGTGACATCTACTCACTGTAAAGCCAAATGGACCCTAGAAGTACAATACTGTGAAAAGATAAGTCTCCTTTGGATTGCAAGTTTCTCAGCGCAAGGTTGACCTTATTCAGACGCCTTGTCAGATTTTTAGAGGGAAAAAGTGCATTTACCTTGATTTTATTGTGATGGAGAGTGAGGAATTATTTTAGGGAGTCATTTGCCTCCCATTCAATATGTGCAATGGAAGGGGGAATCTTTGTGCCATTAATGCCTTACATCATATTTACCTCGGTATTGAACAAATGAAACTCTGACCTGTGACAAACGGTGTGTGTGGAAATTTCTTTCATCTATGCAAGCACTTTGAAACTTGGACACTTAGAAGGTAGGCATTGGGAAGATGAAATCAAGGAAGACCCGGGGTTTCTCTATGCAAAAAATTCATGTGAAATTTAATCAAATTAACACTAGAGCAGAAGAACCATGTGGGCTTGGCCTTGATTTGTGGAAATTCGATCGCAAGTATGGGGAAACCTTTGCAAGGGTTCACTTTTCTCGCAGTAGTGATTCTCTTTGCTGCCGTGTCCATCAAATCTACTGGTAAGAACGTGAATTGTTTTTTTTTAGGGAAGAAAGGTTTGAAAATCAAGTGACTCAATCAAATGAGTGTGTTTTGATCTTCAAAAGCTTCATTCACCTGTCATCACTGTGACACCAAGAATGACTCCAAGGACTGCATGAAGAATTTCCCTGGAAGAACAGTGGTTTGCCCTGAGGGAACCAGCTCCTGTTATGCCTTCTTTAATGAAAGCGTTCCTTCACTGAGTAAGACTTCTTTCTGAATTCGTGTGACTGTGGGTCTTTACTTTTGACTTCAAGAAATGCCGGTACACAGCAAAGAACGTGTACTGCTACTTTTTAAAGACACTAAGTTGTTCGCATAAGAAAGTTGCTCAAGGCAACACATTTTTCCAAATTAAAATGCAAAAATTGTAGGAAGTAATTTTACTCACTCAAAATTTTATCTCACGCGAAGCATAGGCACTGACATTTTCATTTTGGTGTAAAATGTTATTTATTATGGTTGCAGTGAATCATTCTCAGAATTTTGATGTATATTTAATTTGTGAATCCTTATACTCGGCAAAAAAGGGAAGCATTTTATTGCTATTCATGTACAAATTGCATTCATTCTTGTCAATGAAAAGTCAAGTTTGAAATTTTGCTAATCTGAAAGGATTTTGTTTTTTCCATGAATTGCTCACACTGGAACACATGCATTCAGAATGCAGAGAGCCATGTCAGCAAGTGTATATAGACTGGTAGCTTAATGAGTTGACAGCTAGCTTCTCAAAATCTATTTTGGCTATGATGCTTGAGAAGTGCAAGCTGCACAAATCATAGGCAAAACTGTGGTATGCAATCTTTATGGTATTCTACACCATTCAGTGTTCCTCAACTTTTTGCAGACTGGCATATTAAAAAATAAGTTGTGGACCAGCAACATTCCATACAAATTTTGACAACCAGCAAAAATTCTTTGAACACCTTTTCCACAGAACAGAAATTAAGTTGAGAACCAATGAAGCAGCCACGTATAATATAAACCTGGGCTTCAAAAAAGGTTCTTCAGATGGAAAACTTAAAATATTTTTCAGCAAGTGAAAATATGGCTGATGTAACATAATAAAATACAACTGGTATTTTCCATCAGATAATTTCAACTGCCATTTCCTCTCAAAAATTTTTGACACCGTTACTTCAATGTTACTTTTGTTGAATTTATCATGTGGAAGAAATTTCCTTCAGGATTGCAAACAATTTCTGCAGACTGGCATTGGTCCACAAACCATGGGTTTGGGACACTATTTACTTAAATGCAGCATTTAGAGGTTACAATGTATTCGGCTATTGGTATTTGACTTGCTGAGGTTGAAGTTATCAAGGTTTAACTATAACTGATGTTTCAATGACAGTTTCCTCCATTGACGGTCAACTGCAGAAGGCTCCTTGCATTAAAATGTTCCTTCCTACAACAAGCTTTCTCTCTCATCATAGCAACGCTGCATGCAAAGGGATGTGCACCACCAACCATGGTAGCAGCAAGTGTCTGCAAGCGCCCGGAATACTATCGCTGTCAAGATGCAGCACCATTTGCCCTCAGGGCCAGTAATCTCGGGGCAGTAGAACCCCTTCTTTGCGTCTGCAAGGGGCCCAATTGCAACCCTGCCACCCGCGTCGCATCTCACCTCGAATCCCTCATCATGTCTTCCGCTCTGACGGTGATCCTCATCTGTCTTCTCAGCCAGTGAACATAAAACTTCATCTTTAATCACCGTTATTCTCTCTCATTCTATGTTTTTCTGTGATGCGGGGGGAGAAAAGGAAAGAAATAATTTTTCCTCGGGTTCAACCCTGAATTGCATTTTTCATCCACGAACTACACAAGACCTCTTTGCACGGAAAACTCGGCTATAAATCGCACGTCCTTCCGCTTAGGCGAAACGAATCCCATTTGGGATCGTTCCGAGATACTCACGGAGACACTCGACCGAAACAAAACAGTAACGCACTATAAGGAGCATAATGACTTCAGAAAGCGAACAAGAGCAAGAAGGCCATCATCAAGCAGAAAAGCCCCATGGCCTCTGACAATGCGAATCCTAGAATGGCGTAGCTGAAAAGCTGTTGCTTGAGCGACGGATTCCGCGCATAACCGATGATCAAGGAACCAAACACACTTCCGATTCCGGCACCTGAGTGGAAATTACAGCGATTTTGAACGAATCCAACGATGGAGAAATGACTTTCAGGAAAATTGTCGGTATACCTGAACCGGCGACACCGACTGTAGCGGCTCCAGCACCAATAAATTTCGCAGCGGAGTCGATATCTCGCTGCACAGCGGATGTCTGAAGGGTGTTCAACAGGGACATCATCGGCGAGGAGACAGGGAGCAAAGTTGATTCCAATTTCTTCGCTGTTGTCTGGTTTGCATTCACGGAACTCAGCGCGGGATTCGCACTCAGGCGAGCTGAGTTGATCACCTTTTGAGACGAAAACGGTGATGTGGGGATAATTGAATCAGTTGATTGCCAAATACTGTAGATCAACTCACATTCATGCGGGCAATAGCTGCGGACCTGGTAAGCATCATTTTTCCTGAGTTTCGGTATGAAATAAACTTCCCACGACACTGAGGTCTTTGAATAAAAATCTACAGGCAATCACACAATCCTGCAAGATGAAAATGTACAGTACTTCATTTCTCAATTCGAGTCATTCCGCAATTAAATACTTCGGACTACGGTGGAGAAGGAATACTACTAATATTTCTTCGGCTATCACCACAACCAATGATCACTTCAATTGACAGTCTCCAGGCTCCACCTCCGACAGTTCAATCCACTTGGCATTCTTACCCTTCTGAGAAGATTGTTCTGAACGATTGGATTCAGTATGCGGATGGGGAATAGGGAGCATGAAGGTGGTTAAACACCTAATGGGATGCTCCTCCACCTGATTGTTCGTCGTTAAAATTGAATGGTTTGAAGTTAAATTTGAAAATATTGCTTCTTTTGAGAACCTAAAAATGCAAATATATTCCTTTTTTTAAATCAATGACTTGCATGTTCACTCCAGAAGAGAGAATCTCCACCAGATTATCATGGCTGCTAATGCTTCTCAACAGAGATCCCTCCACCGGTGTAGCAGGCAGGGCGTACTCCCCAGGTACAGCGTACTCCCCCTGCAGGAGGATTAGTCCACATCCGCGGAGTGCGATTCAGCAGAGGCTCTTCTGCAGTGATCACTTATGCAGTGGTATCTTCGCTTCCACTCCTCCTGTCATCCTTGATCAGATAAGCTTCAGTGCGAGGGGCTCTTTGGACGGTTGAGTATAGTTCAAGGAAGTGTCCGCTAGATGTCGCCCTACTGTGTAAGTGGGCTAGCTTACTCTCCCCCCCTTAAAAAAGAACTCCGGTCGGTCAGACATAAAAAAGAAAAGAGACGCGCCGAGGTTGGGTAGACGAGAAGAGTGACACGGGAAAGCACATCAAAAGAAATCTCGCGTGTCACGCGCGCGTTGCGTAAGAATGTTCTCGGCGAACCTTCTCCTCGGTGGGCTTCCATTTGTGGGGTTGCCCATACGGATGATCCAAGCGAGTGTTGATTACCTCGGGCGGTGGTCGCGCTTCGACGGGGCGGGCGTACGCGTGGTCAGGAGGCGGCGTGGGCTTCTCCTGAAGGGTAGGCGCGTGCACGACACTTAGGACCGATTCAAACCCGGGTTCGGGGGGCCGCGGCAATCCTCGATACGGAATGAGTTCCCAGGAATTGGCGCGACGAACTTGATTCCCTGCGCCGACCCAATATTCTCCCTCGCCTCTGTAAGAAAGAACTACAAACGGCCCGAATTTCTGCACCCTGAATCGGCGATCGGCGGCGTGATGCTCGGTACTCCCGAGTCGTGGTCGAACGGCGACGATGTCCCCTGGGTTGAAATGCTTCCACTTTCCTTTGCTAGCCTGTTGAGTAAAGGAAGTGCGGGCGTTCTCGTTAATGGTAGGAATCTGCTGCAGTTTGTCGGTTATATCGCGAGTTGGCGCTTGGAAGGTTTGATCGGCCTGTAGCTGTGTTGGGACGCCAAACATAGCTTCGTTCGGTGTCACCCCTGTGGAGGAATGGATGGTATTGTTGTAGGCCTGAGTCGATGTTGACAGGAACAATGCCCACTGGTCCTCGTGGCCATTAACTGCCTTCGCCTGAATCTGCGATAGCGACTTGATGGCTCGTTCGCAACAGCCGTTCCCTTCGCTGTGGGATGCTTGTGCTATATGCTGCTGGACACCATTATCGCGGAGGAAGAATTTAAACACTTTAGCACGAAAGACCGAATCACAGTCTGTGTGTACCGTTTCGAAAATGCCAAATTGCCGAAAAACGTCCGCCAAGAATGGGATGACAGTACTGGTGTCGGCCTTAAGGATCGGGCGAGTGATCATATATTTAGAAAAATGATCGACCGCCACAATTGCATACCTGTACTTCTCTTTGGTAAAGGGCAACGGCCCGTAAAAATCCATCGTTAAGCGCTCGCGAGGTTGGCTGGACGTGATGGAGGTAAGCTCAGTTCCGATGGGCTGCGTCGGGACGTTGTATTGGAAGCACAAGGAACACGCCGAAATTTGTTTCCAGGTATCCTGTCGTAGTGTCTTCCAATGGAATCGTTCCTTCAGCGTCGCGTAAACCTTCTTCCATCCGGCATGTCCGAGTTCCAGGTGATACGCGTCGATAATTTTGTTGTAGTCCGCGGGATCTGGTCGGGTTCGTACGTCTAAGTCGATGTGATTGACTGCAGCGCGGCTGAGAGCATCCGGGCCCTGAAGCATCTTTCCGGGGCGATATTGGAGCTCGAAGTCGTAGGAGGCCAATTTGGTTTGAAGGCGTATCAACCGCTCTGTTTGCAAGACCCCTAGAAGGGCTTTATGATCAGTACTCACCGTGAATCTGCGATATTCGAGGTGGTGACGGAATTTCTTGGTGACACTCCAAACGATGGCTAAGAGTTCACGTTCGGAGTTGGTGTATCTGGTCTCCGCGTCGGACAGAACGCGACTCGCGTAGGCGATAATACGGGGTTGGTCGTCCTGGTCACGTTGAACTAAGACCGCTCCCAGGCAGGATGCCGAAGCGTCACAATGGACTTCCATAGGTAAGTCGGGATCGACTCGTTCAAGCTTGGTAGCGTCCGCCAGGGTATCCTTGATAAACTGGAAAGCTTGGTCTGCGGCAGTGTTCCATCGAAGACGAACAGCAGGCTTTTTTGGAATGATGGACCTAAGTATGCGCTCCTGTTCGGCAAAATTCATCGGCAGATGCGCGCGCAGATAAGTGGCCATGCCAATGAACCTCTGCATCTGGCGCGTCGTTTCGGGACGAGGATAATTGCGTACCGCGGTGACATTCTTCTCCGCTGGTCGAGTGCCGGTCCGGTCGATCTCGTGGCCAAGGAACAAAATCTTCTGCGCCAAGAACTTGGACTTGAAGATGTCAATAGCTGCTCCTGCCCTAGAGAGGGTCTTCAAGACGGCTCGCAGGTTATCACACAATGCGTTGAATGATTCGCCGAACACGATGACATCGTCCGCATAAGCCAGGCACCTGATAAAAAGATGCTGACGCAGAATGGAATTAATTGCTCTTTGGAACAATGCGGGACCGGTTTTGAGGCCGAAAGGCAGCACTTTGTATTGCATTTGTCCGCGTGGCGTAGTAAATGCGGTTTTCGGGCGGTCAGCATGCGCGAGAGGCAAATGATGAAACGCCGAATGCAAATCCAGGGTGCAGAAATACGCGTTGTTGCGCCCGAGCGCGTCTAGGAGTTCCTGCACAACCGGAGTTGGGTAATTGTCGGAAACCACAAGTTTGTTCAGTTCGCGATAATCCTCCACAATGCGCCATCTCTTATCGAGAGGGTCATCTGGTTTGGAGCCCGGTTTGGGTACCACGAACGCGGGGGAATTGTACGGCGAGCAAGCCGGTTCCAGAATCCCGTCCCGCAAATATCGGTCAACGATATGTGTAAATGGCGCGTTCCATTCTGCGGATTGCCGGAAAGGTCGTACCGCGGGGGGAGTAGAGTCGCTTGTAGGAATATGCACGACATAATCCGGTAAAAGCCCTCGTTTCCCTGACCACTGAAATACTACCGATGGAAACTCGCAAAGAATGTCGCGGATCGTAGATCGTTCGTCGGGCGACCCGTCAAGGAAAGAAATGCCCTCCCCAACAGGTAAATCAGGTTCACCCTGAGGACGAATCACCGTTTGAAATCCTGTAAACACGCGTTCTCCGTCAATTGTGACAGTTACCGGTAACAGAGACAAAAGGGTTCTGCCGAGAATAATCGGGGGATCAAAAGCTTCATTCAAAACAAGAAAAAAACCCTCATGCGTTACGCCGCGATAGCGAAATGGTACCGACACCGCATTAGCGACGTGCATCGCGCTTGAGGAGAGAACGGTGGTAACGGATGTTGAAAAGGGGTGGGTTTGGAGTTTAAGGGACTGAACCAACCTGGGCGAGATACACGCGTGGGACGCGCCGGTGTCGACGAGAGCCCTGCATGAAGCGGATCCGATGAAGATGTCCAGGAGGATAGGAAGCGGCGCTGGGGGAAGTGAGGAAGAAGCACAGTCTGCCGCGTTAACTGTGCCTATTTCGAGTTTCCCTGCTTTTTCGGGCAGTCACGAGCAACATGACCCTGTTGGTTACAATGAAAACACGGGTTTTTTGAATTGTCAAAGGAATTAGTTTTCGTAGACTGCGCTGATACGGGCGCAGCCTTGTCCAAGTTTTCGCCTTGCGCGGCCTGACGCGCACGGCAATCTTCGGTACTATGCCGCATCATGC